TGTTATTGCTTTAAGGGAAATATTGCCCTATGCCTTGCAGCACTTTAATAGCTACCAAAAAAAAAAAAAAAAAGCATCAAATATAACTGTATTTTTTTTTTTATTCTTTCTCTTATGCTTTCACTGAGAACAGCCCAATTGGTTTATGAAATTCCAAAAACATCTGCATGGACTAGGGCTAGATGTAATGTAGGAAAAGCTGTTCTCAGAAGCAGGTGCCTCTTTGCCAGCAGCAGAAGGGATGCTGCTCTCCTTGCATGCAATAGCCAACTGCTTAAAGCACTGACCAGGAGACAGAACAGTTCAGTCACTAACTTGTCAAGAGATATTAAGAATTTTATTCCCAAAAGAGATGTCCTAAACCCCAGCAGTTGCTTACTTCATGGAGTGAGCCAGGATACAGTGCCCCCCTACATCTGAAGCTTGGCCACTATGAAGCTATGCAGTTACAGAAAATAAATTGTGGACAGAGCACACCTGCACACACACATTAATTTAGGAGTTGGGAAATAAATGATCAGGGAGACCTAACATATTGTATTGCTTTTTTATATGTTAGGCAAGGGCTCTCACCACATACATACATGAAATTGGAAACTAATACTAATTTTACAATTTTAGTTTTGGGTTATTTTTGACTTTTGCTTTTTGTTTTGTTTTTTGGTTGGTTGGTTTTTGTTTGCTTGTTTTGTTGATTTTGTATTTTTTTTTTATCATGGTCTCCATATTGCTTTTTACAAGTAGGTCAAACGTTTTCATGTATGTCCACTGCATTTTTAAAGAGACTTGAATTCCTCAGGCTGATCATTTTTATTACAAGACAGGCAGTGTAACAGATACTTTGGGTCCCTGGAACTCTCTGGTTACAAATTGCAGCACTAATGGCATTAAGGCAATGGCAGTCTTACAGATATGACCTTTAGTTTTCTTATGAACCACAATTGCAAGATGATGGACTATGAAAAGCTAAGTCTGCCATATGTTTCAAGAAGTAATTTTACAGGTCCAAAGGATTTGCACTGTCCACAAAACTGAAAAATGTCCAATGCATTCACTTCAAAGTCAAGTGAGGACACCACTTTGACTTGAATACGACAGACTTTTGAGATATGCTTGAGTATTTTGAATTTGAATAACATTCCCCTTGCTGAGCAGTTTTAGCTTCAGCCATAGTCAGTAATATATATCTTCATGAAACTTGAAATTGTGTCACTACACAGAGAGAATTAAAGATTCATCCAGTCAAAAATAATAAAACAGGGAAGAGAAATATTTTTTGTACTACTGAAACAGATACATTTGTACTGTTATAATTAACATACATATATGTATCCCTATATGCCCATAAATATATTAGGCATGTTGAATACATAACATGCATATATTGTTTTATAAATATTCATATATGAACATATGTAATATATGAAAGTATTTAATATTTACCCATATATATCTGTATTAAATATATATATTTGAAAGATACAGCAAAAACTCTAATGTCAGCTGGAAAAAAAAAGGCTGGTTAGGCTAGAAAAAGTGCTTGTTTTATGAAAAAAGTAAAATTGCAATTCACAGCATTTTCTGTAATGCTGTACAAATTACCAGATACCAGAGACTGCATTTCTGGACCTGAATAGTACTAAAAGTTGCAACTAAGGGCAAATATAAAGACACTTGTTTACAATGCAAAGGCTTAGTCAGTACTATAAGCAATATGGCAATCTGCATAGCAGAAGATATAATGCTTTATGCGTTTTTACTTTACCTATCAATTCCTACACACATGAACACACTCAACAACACACCCATTAATTTCAGCCAGTATAAAAAGGGAGGAAATACTGGAAATGCAGTTATAAATGAATGGTAATTAATGCATATTGACATATTTATACAATGATACGTTTACCTTATTTACTGGGTGGTAGCCATACATGTTTTATGAAGATACCATGAAAGCATTTAAAAGTGTACTAGAAATGGGCTGGAAATCCTATTACCAGAGCTGCTGGTAACATTTCCACTGTCTTGGGGAGGGGACAGGAGGAAAAAAGCAGAGTAAAAAGGTAAGGAGAAAAGTGTCATGGAGAAGGCCACTCTCTTCACCTGATGGCCCACTTCCACCCCAGAGCTTGGGATGAACACCAGCGTGTCTGAATTTCATTATTCTGCTGTCAGGCACTGGCTAGGAAATGTCCTGGCAATAGGACTTCTACCCTGTTTCTCTGTAATCTTCTACTTTGACTATTCTGGAATCTCAAATGGCCAAAATGGGTGTAATGAATTCAATTACAAGTCTGGACCACTGAGGTAGAACATGGCATATGTCCAGTCCTTGCTTTTCAGAAAAGAGAAGACTTGAAAATAAATTCAGACAAACATACACAAAGACTCTCTATGTGCTCACACTTAAATGTAATCTACTTATACTTAAAGAATCATTGTCAAAAAGATAGGAAACAGGAAAAGCAGCAGCTCTGGGAGGTGTAAGGCACCCGCTGACCTGGACAGAGGGGACCTGAGCAGAACCCTTGTCTACTTGTCCCTGCCTCTTTCTGTGGACAGAGATCTCTAGGAGAGGATATGAAAGCAAGTTTGATAATTGGATAACATTTGGATAGCAAAAGCCTGTCTTGATGTGATATGAAAAACAATTGAGCATCCCATAGCTGCCACCCTCAAGTTATTTGAGCTCTGCTATGAACATGAAGGGCTCAATATTGTTCAAATACTTTGAAAAAAGATTTTCCAAGGAGAATGCACAAAATTACTGAGAACCCGATTTCACAATTATTTAATTGTGTTTGAAAATATGAACCATATAAACTTCCTGCTTCCAAGTATTAGTGAGAGTTTCTTTACACCAAAGCACTGTTGGGATGAGCAGCATAGAAAATTCTATAAAGCAGCAAGATTAAACAACATGCAGTAAATATATCTCAGGAGGATCCAGGGTGAACATCTGATTATAAGTGTAAATTACCAGAAAGTAAGGTACAAAGAATAAAATATATATGTGAGCAAATCATTAATATGGTAATAAAAATTTTTTTGGAAAAAGTGTGTTACTTTTGCCATATCTAAACTTTTGATAATGAGGTCTTAGAATCTTAATAATACCTCCTAAAAGTAGTTTTTATGGATGGCAATGTAACAACCTGGACATAAAAGACCACATTGACTCCAAATAATCTTAATTATGTATTATATGTATTTTCTCATGTTTATAGGCTTGTCTAAAGACCTACAACTCTTCTGGTGCCATATAAATATTTAATAATGATAATGTAGAATACACTGATATTATATTACAAATGGTTATTTTGCATCCTTATTCCAAAATGGACTTGCTTTAGTTACATCCCAGCTCTGTTAGATTCATTGAGTGTGTTCATGGGAATAAGCAATCAGTACTCAGCTTCATTAAGTTTATATTTTTATACCTTCCACACTAGACAAAAACATTACATTATGGGCAGAATTTAAATAATTGCTTAAAAGTTAAGAAAATGCTTCAGTGATTTGCAAAAATGGATTCATGCACTGAACTAATCAACAGTCTTCCAAATTTTTTCCAAAAAAATGAACTTCAGAAAATGCCATGATATGTATTTTTATCTTTCAAAAAAAAACAACTCATTTTTTTATATTGTGCATTTCAAAATTAAGCTGCATAGAGTGTCATGTAAATAGTCCATGATGTGCTGAATAATGACAGCCAAGTTACCTTCTCAAGTGAAAAGCTGGGTTAAAACCTGGAATATTTTGAGCTTTTTAGACTTATCTTTTGCCAATAAGCAAGCTATTTCAAAAACATTTGCTTCTGTTCACATGGTACTCCTTCTGAAGGCAATGATTATTTCTGAAACCAAACAGTCCTAATACAGAAATTACTGTAATTTAATACTGTAAATTACTTTAACTAAATGCAAGTGTATTTATAATGGCAGCTAAAAAAATGGAAAGTTATAGGACACAACCCCCAAAAATGAATTAGGTGACACCCATATCTCAGACTTTTAAATTAAGAACAAACACTGACCAAATATGGAGATAAAGCAGAAGCATGTATGAAAAGTTCTTGCATGGCTAATAATATAGCAAACCCCCTGAAAAATTAATACAGTATACAAAGTAACATTGTGTGCAGGGGCCCCAAAAAGATTTTGAAACTAACCAAGAAGTTCTTCTCAAGTCCTATATGTCAGTCCTTCATATTGTATTTTTACCTCTAAAATTTATTTTATTTAAGTAAGAACAAAATAGATCTATATTTTTTTATAGACCCAAAGCAAGTGGTTCTAACTGGTATGATTCTGAAGTTGCTCAATGGGTTTTTCACATTGACACAGTACAGTAATTTCACATTCTTCTGCATATTTAAAAGTATATTATGAATTCTAAAGAGTCTACTGCAAAATTATGAGAGCTGAGAATGTTTGAATAAATCTATTTAGAAAATTGCTACCGGCTGTATATTTGGTGTGTTCCATTAGAGAACGTTCCACCATTGTCTTAGCGGTGACAGATGCCGTGCTCACAATGTTGGATGTAAAATGTAAATTCACATTTCTTATGAAAATCTGAAATATCATCTGAGCTTGACCATTTCTATTTTGTGATTGTAAGGTAAAAAGCATTACTAAAAAATCCCCACAAAACCAAACCCAGGCATTTAGTGTGTGATATACCTTTTTTCCCCTTAGAGGCAGCACAGTGGCTGCCTGGCATGTTTGTTGTACGGAGGTCTATTTACCACTACCTCCTTCCCCTGCTGAACTGGCATGATACCCCCAAACTGAAGTGCTGTCTTGATGACCAGGAGGGAAAGGATATCTTTATGTGGACAGATGACTGTGTTTATTGAGCATTTCCAACTTAAATGCAAGTTTAAGGTGCTAATAAACAAGGTTATTTGTACTAAATACTGCGGCGCTCAGCTGAAAATGGTTTGCAATATGTCACTATATATATGTGTATGTATATATATTATGTGTTACCTTGGATACAAGGCTTGCTCTGTAGGCAGCTAACTGCTTCAGATACTCTTTCTTGGCAGCTTCAGTTTTCTTCTTGTATACCTAAAAACAAAGAGTGACACATTGGTAAATGAATCTGGTTTTGTTTTTATATATCACTGGTGTGTCTCATGCATTTTCGTGATGTCTTTCTAAGTAAACAGCCTTTCTTCTTCATATTACTTAAAGAGTGAAATAATAAACATCAAATATTTTAAAGAAAATATTGTTCCAACTGTGAAACACCATTTAACTAACCAACAGTACTGAAAAAAAAATAACCCTCATAGCATCTCAGGCTAAATTGCTCGAAGTGACGTGTGGGGTGTACTTTTAAATGGGACCTTTGGGGGGAGGTAGGTGTGTCCCTTTCCCCTGGCTTCCACTTGTGAGACCAGTTAAAACCCTCTGGGGAAGACAAGAATTTGCAGAAAGACATTTGAACTAAATGAAGGAGGAGATGACAGCACCACAGTTTAGCCAAGAGAATTTCTCTCTTCCCTGGGTGACCTGTTGGGGGCAGTCAAAGAAGCCCACGGAGCTGCTAAGGATAATAAATGTTAGTCATTATTCCAGTCTTGATCCCATATCGGTCTAATTAACTTCTCAGAAGCATGGATCTATTTCTGTACATTTCTCTCAACTCACCAAATTATTTTAAATGTGGCATGTGCACAATTTCATAATAGATTAAAGACCTTGGAGAATCACTTCAATTTTGCCCAGATTTCAAGATCAAAGATTATCTGTAGGGTTAGGCAGGACCTCATAGCACTACAGTAACATGACGTTAGAAAAGCATGTGTAGATATTTAGGGTTGAAAGCTCTCAGGAGGAGAACCAGCTTCTGATCCATGGAGCCTAGCTAATGACTCGCTGTTAGCCATGTCAGTGACAGATTTAGGAACAACTCAGCATTTCTGTTTGCAAATTTTGTCAGGAGTTTCTCAGTACTTCATGTTTTGGATTTTTTCCTGAAGGGGGAGATTTAGGAGTCATGCATGCATCTGGGCTTCATGTAACTAAGCAGGGCTGATTCCTCATATTTCTTGTTGAAAGGAGAAGTTAAAAAAACCATCTAAAGGTTTAAAAGTGAGGGAGAAAAAAAAAGGGAAGAATTTTTTTTTTTATTGTTATATTTTATGACTTTAAAGTCATGTGACAGAGTTTAATCCACATCTGGATGGGTATTTAGGTAATATTGCACAAAATGAGACTGCAGCTTTGTGTCTCTGTTGTCCACTTGTCCTGCACAACCTGGGCACCTGTGGAAAACCTCCATAAGGAAAGACTGTCCACCTTCCCCCTCCCATTCTTCACTGCCTTGTTAACTGCACTATTGATTCAAAGCTAAAAGACAGTCAAAGCTATTAAGGAGGACAATTTTGGGGTGCTCTTCTGAATTCCACAGCTAAAAGCACACATGAACATCTCCTCCCCAGAAAGATAAACTTTATGAAACTTTAAAGTGTTCTCTTTTGATCTTCCAATGCTTCAATAATACCAGCAGTCCTGTAATGGAGAGGACCTGGCAGCACAGAGTACACACAGAGGACAATACAGTTGCAGACTACAAAGGAAGAGTGGTAATGTCAGGCTGGAAGGATCCAGTACAACACCATTTTTATAAAGAATGTACTCATGAAACTATTTTTTGTTTCACTAACACTTTGCTTTCAGACACAGAACAAACTTCAGATGCAGGCTGGCAAAACTCAGAGGCTGCCTAAAAGGATTAAGGATTTTTCTTCCCAGGGAAGCAAAAGATCATAATGGAAACAGAGAAGTCTTAGGCTTCTAAAATTGTAAATATAAAGACAGAGAGGGAAAAAGATTGGTTTTAGCTGTGCAACTGTATGTTTGCACCCTTGTAATTTTTCCAGATTAAGATAAATATGTAGTGTTTGTTGATCTCCTATTGTTCTGCAAATAATAAAAAAAAAAAGGTAGCAATTTGCTTCTTAAGTTGTAATCGTTTGTGATAATTAGGGGAATTAGTATTTGTTTTGAAAACAAATAAGAAATTAGTCAGCAGTCAGTTCCTAGCTGCTAGAATGAATTCAGCTTGACTTACAGAACAAAGACTAAGTTATACTCCGTTGTATATTGCAATGCCTTTGCAACACTCTTAAGTTAGCCAACTTAAAAAACAGAGCTGAACAAAGAATTTTATGCAGAATAATGTTCTTCAAAAGATCATGTATCTACTGCTTCCACCTCAGGCTTTATTTTGCTTTACATAAATATAAAAAATAGACACTCCTGTTGTGCTCTTACAGTCACAGCATAATTGAAGGAGTCCTCTGGGACCTGACTTTTCCCAAAAATAGTCATATTGCACAATGTTAACTCAATAATATGAAGCTAACAACAATTCTGCAAATTTCCATCTAAAGCATCACTACTACATAGAAACATCATCAGATGTTTGTTATTTAATTTTGTCCTACCTATGCATCTATCATGTTCAGTGGACACACTGCCTTGACCTCTTCTCTTGAATCTGTTGGTGAATGAATAATAATCACTTGAACACCATGTCTTCCCTGGCACTATAAAATTTAACAATTTAACAGGAGGTCATTACAGTAAAAAAGTCCTTACTGGGTGGGAAAGACCCCAGCCTGTCTTGATTTTTGTGTTGCCAAGAATGGCTCCTGCAGACTGGCTGGTCTGGAAGGTGATCAGCTCACCCCACTTCATCCCTGGAACAACATCATTGTCTCCTCTGGGGTCAACAGGCTGAGTTGTCACTGAGCCCTTCTCAAGGTGCCCACTGCTTAGGTTAGCATACAAGTAGGCTGATGATCCTCACGCTGGTTTTGGAAATTGACTTGTCATGGCCTAGACTAAAAAATAAGGGTAAGTTCTGTCTGGGGAGTAAACATTCGGTAATATAAATAGCAATAAGGTCTGGTCTGGCTGTCAATATTTTTCTTTGAAAGCAAATGAATGTGGTCCTGGCAGTGATACCAATTCACTGGCTCTGTGCTGGACTGGACTTGTACTGGGCGCTTACGAAGGCAGGGCAAGTGGGGAATGCCTTCAGCATTTGCAGCAGTACCTCAAACAGGTATGAACAAGTCAGCTGCTCCTCTCAAACTCTTTTTAATATTTTTTTCTGCATCTGTGAAAATTTTTTAGCCCTCAGGCTTACATAGTTTTGTGTTGTTGTAAGTATAAGACTTGCCTCCTTGAAGCACTTTTAGGGCAGAAAAAGGCTTGTGTCATCATTCAAGTGTGTCTAGAAAATAGCTGAAGGTCTTTTGAGCTTCATGCATATGACAGTGTCAAATTATCAAACACATCATATCCAATAATACAATTAACTTTTTCCTGTATCATAAAGCAGGGTTCTGTTCTGCTGCTTATCTATATTGTATAGTGGGAATATTTAATTTTATTTATAGCATCTTAGAAATCTCCTATAAGGTCATTTTCCTGTCCTCTGTCAAGCAAGCAACAATTATTAAATAAGTAACTTGATGGGAACATATAGTTATGGAATTAAGCAATTTCCACTTTGCTTTAATTCAATTAACATGATAATTGAACATCAACTGATTGTCACATAGGCAGGAAAGGCCCATTCTGATTCAGAAGCATATTTGTGTTCTTATACAGTATTTTATTTCCCACATTGTCCCAGTTGTGGAAAAATGGATGTTGGCAGAAATAGATATCATTTCATATATGCAGGGTAGGTCAGTTTAATTTATTCTTTTCCTCTTCAGCATGTTATAGAAACCCCAAAACACCAAGACTGCACACATCTGTCTATAAATGGAACTTGCTGGCATTATTTTCCTACTGTGCTTCACACACGCAAATGCAGACAGAATAATACACAGGTGCTTTATTGCACTTCCAAGGTAGCTTCAAGTTCCCTTACACTGTACAGCAAAGCATGTAAAAAGGAGCAAGCATAAAACCCTACTTTGTGCACATGAATATATAAGAGAGAGTTAGGCCACCAGGGAAAACAGATGCCCTGGGCTCTCACAGGTTGGTACCAGCCCCCAGGCCATTGCACCAGCAACTTTTAGCTCATGCATGTGGGCCATCAGAGCTACTGCAGCCTACAGCAAGGACTGAACTCTTCTTATTTACACATCCCTAAACTGAATGCACCAAAATTCCTCTTGGAGATAGAGGAATGGCAAGTTATAGGACAACCACTCACAAATACTAGATTCACCAAATTAAAACCACAGTCGAACTGAAGCACTTTTGCTTTATGCTGCCAAACTCTGGTAATGTTTTACTTTATGTATTTTAACTGATGTTTAGTTCTTGTCTCTTTTGGATCATAAATTCCTTGAGGCAGGCCTTTATGTCTCCCATGCTTTTCTGTGTGTTTTGTAATATGAAGTTCATTACTGATATATACCTGTAATGTTTTACGCCAGGTTTTTGTTCTGGCTAGCCATTTTTTCACAATGAACTTCCTCTCAACATGCTTGTGGAGGATTATCAACATACCACAACACACTAGGAAGTGGGATTACTACCTTGTCACTTGTGGCTTGAACCCTTATTGCCTGAAGAGAACAGATCTCCCTTCCCCCAGTCATCACAAGAGCCAAAACAGGCACTCAAATGTCTGCAACCACATCCTCAGTTCTGACTTTCAGGTGCTAATGGAAAACTATTGCTCGTGACTACAGTCCTCTTTGATACTAGAGATGATACCAGACTTGGAGACAGTGAACTAAACTGACTCATAATCTTTGCAGAAAAAGAGACTTTTAGAATTTGTGCTTCGTGGAAGTCTGCAAAATCTCTTTGTTTCCTAGCTGACAAAGTCAACTAGAATGAACCATGCTGCTTCCCTGGCTTTGCCTAAATAGATGGTATGAGGATGACAAAGAAAGGGAAGTTTTCTGTTTGTCTTGTGGCTATCTCCTTAGAGCTAAGACTTGCAAGCAAGTTTTATTTGTCTTTTTAAAATGATGTAAAAGTGCCCACATTTGTTTTGGTGGAAATGTTCCAGAAACATCTCTAAACAGTATATGCAAAAACAGTAAATCAAAAAGCAACATGACCGGTTTTGTATTCTTGGT